AGGAAGATGGAGCACCTTGTCACAGTGCTAGGAACACCCAAAAAGGGCAGGAAGAAAATGGTATCCAGAAGGTGCCCTGGCTGAGTCAATCACCTGACATGAACCCCATCAAAAACCTTTGGGCCATACTCGACCGGCAAGTCAAGGAACAACCAAAAAACCAACTTCGAAGAGCAATCTACTCCAAGTTTTGAAGCAAGAGTGGGCGAAAATCCCACAATATAAAATTGACGAGATGATTCTCACAATGCCCCAAAGCATCAACGAACTCCACGAAGCGAAAGGAAGATCTACTAGATATTAATTAAATTATAAATATATCAATTCATGTGAATATGACTAACAATTTTAATTTTTCTGAAAAGGTGGTGTCTGTTTACTTGTGACCACGCTGTGTATATATGTGATAGTGTTTTTGTGTATGCTCCAGCAACTTCAACTTACTCATGAAGTGGTGCTGTACACATTTTAATAAATTATTACAAGTCTTTTAGGGCATTAGATCTTTTTTATTATCTTGTAAGTTTCAGACTGTAGAGATTGAAGAAGTCTATTACAATATAAAATTAGTTACTGTTACTTATTTGTTGCTCTTCTTAACTTATTTTTGTTGTGCTGTTTATCGTAACAATTCTTGGCCTTTTTATTAATGATTTGTGGCTCTAGGTATCATTACTGTATCAATGAAAATTCTAAAATGTACTTCTTATGACTGCAGCATTAATGACATTATATGCTAAGTGAATGACATGTAGTTAGAGCAAACAAAATCCATTTCCTTGTCTAAACTTAGAACAGTCAAATTTCATATGCAAAGAAATTTTCAATATATCTTTTTTATTTATGATGAGTCATTTTGGTGTACCTTTTTAATTGGGTATAAGGCAGTTTTCTTCATAGTATACACACAGTTGTTTTATTAATCAACTAAGATGAAAGTTATGTTTAATTAATTACCTTAATTATAATTTCTGAGAAACATTATAGTTTCTAAATTTCTTCTCCATTATAAGTATTTTATTGATGTTTATTAAACATCATGATACGTACCTGAAGTATTGTGCCACACATGACTGAAAACAGGTGTCAGGGGGTAGTAAGGTACCAAGCAAAGAATGTACTGAGAGAACATGATTTTGGAAGTTTAGTGAGAATTATTTGTACTTGAATGCAGAGTTTCTTGTTCTCCCTTTCTTTTTATATTTCTGCTGCTGCTATAATATTTTGTAGATCTAGAGTGAAAAATGGAAAAACAATATTGTGTACCTGTAGGATTTGTATTTTAACTTTATTATTTCTGGCTATTGGTATGAAGACAGAACAATGTAGTTGTTTCTTTGTAAGTTTATTATGAAATATTTTGACCATTTTTCATTCATCAACTGCAATGCTCTTTTCAGTTGTTATTTTTTGTGCATAAAAAAACACATTTCATCATTGATAATGAGGAACTGTATCATACAAATGTATCTTTTTTTTCTCATAAGTTGTCTAAATTATAACATATGCATCTGCTTAACTAGAACCTAGAAGAATTAAGAAAAACACGTATTGCAGCTTGGAGTCTCTATATGTGAGAAGTCTGAAAAGGGTTATGTAATGCCTCAGACTAGATATGATTCTTTTCAAAATGTTTCTATTTATAAAATGTTTACACTTGTTTGTAAAGAAAGGAAATACGTTCATTCTTACAATGAATTGATATTACCTTTTTTATATTTGCTTGCTAAAAAAGTTCTTTTACTTTGATTTTTCTGTTTTTATTAAGGCATAAATATATTGTGATTCTCGAACATCCATCTTTATGTGAGACAAGGATTTACTAATTCAGAAAGTAAATTGTTCCTTAACTCATCATGAATGACAGCCAGAATATTGAACAGTAAACAAACAATATTGATGAACAATTACTCCTTTCCTTCTTTCATATTTTTGAACAGCCATATTTTTGTAATTCTTACAATAAGCAACAGCATCTGTTCTGATTGCTGTTGAATACAATAGCCAGTTCAGTGTAGCCTTTCATGAAGTCTATTCTCTCACCTAACATATTATTCCATAGAAACTCTCAATCTCTACTTTTGTTCATCATCTCACTCCATGCTATTTGACTGTCTCCTCTACATGATGAAGATTTTCCAATGAAATGTGGAGAGGCTGCAGGAATTCTTCTATTTGGGCATAATATATATTTCAACTGAAAGGTTAGGCTGTTCAGATTGGAAGCCATAATATTCATCTCAATTGATGGTACTCAGTTGCCTCAATCTATATTATCTTCTTCATACTTAGTTTCCTTCTGTTATGAGATGTATTCTGCATTTGAATCTGGCATTTTTGTGTGTGCAAGGTATCTCTTGACAACAACTGAAGGTCTTTTGTTTGCTGCCAACTTCAGGGTTCAGTAGTTTATTTAGAACCAGAGTTGTATGACAGTCCAGCACTGTGACATCGGTATCTGAAGGACCAGAACCTTGTTGTGGTCTATACAACTGCTTACCAATACTTTAAAATGCATAAAATTTTTGCAAGGAAGGTTTTGGTATCTCCTGGATGACTTCAGTGTCAGTAAGTTGTTTGCTGTCTTTGCATATGAAATTGTTATCAAGAATGACAAACGAGACATTTTGTGATTTAGCTGTATCTCCTGAACTTTTGTTTCTTGTGATTGATCGTTTCTATAGCTACCTGTTTCATTCTTTCAAATTGTGGCTGACTGAATACATGTGTTTTAACTCTATAATGAAACAAACTGAGTTACATTCAGTGTATTTTAATGAAATTATTATTATCAAGTACATTATAGTTCAAAGTTTTGTGTTATCTTAGTTTTAATTCCTTTATTTCAAAAGAAACATTGAAAGCAATAATGTGCAAATAATTACATTAAATACCGAATTTTTATTAGAAATAGTAGAAAAAACAAAAATTATATATTTTTCTCAAACTACATACATTTATGAAAGTTCTTGTCAAGTTTTAAACAATGTTATCCACTGGTTTTATTACTGGAATGAAATTTAAAGAGATATACATAATATACATAGTCTGAAGCATGTTGTCATTATCAGGTTAAATACTGATTTCTTAGCTTTTCAAATTGTGGCTAAGTGAATATATGTGCTCTAAATACCAGTATTTTAGCAAGTACATACAGGGCTTTTGCATAGCATTTCACTGCATTATTAACACATTCAATTTTTCAACATGCCTGCTATGGTAACTTCCCTGACCTAAATAATATAGAAAAAGTTACTGACTTTCTTTGTCACTGTTATGATGTAGGCTTATTAGCCTTAGCTTACATATTTCAGAATGAATTAATGCAATAATGATAAAACATAGGGTTAAAAAATGAAAGGTATACAATAAAATATTATTTGTACCAATTTGGCAGATACACTGTATTACAAGATATTTATATATGGTGAAAATTTTACTACAGAGAAAATGTAAGCATGCTGCAGAACTTGCAAAACTTTTTATTTCATAGATTCCATTAGTGTTAGTAAATCTGACACTAAACCAGATGAACTTACCTCACCCAACTTTTTCTTTTCTGAAAAATGTATTCAAGCTCTTTGCAAATAAAGAACACATATTCTCAAGTTGAACATGGTCTCCTCCTCTGCTGATAGTATCCCAGACTGAAGATTAATTGATGTTTTTTTTCTGACATGCAGTAAAGGATGCCTGTGGTAGTACAGTTAAAGTGAAGAATATTTGTACATGCATTTAAGTTTAAAAAGTGTATAAGATATGAAATTCACATAAACAAGTGCATAATATATGTTGTATTTTTTAAGGAAGTACTGTAGCAAAATGTTTTTGTCTTACTTGTTCAAATTATATAAAGTAGTTTAAATGACCTGACTTGAGATCTATATAACAGTTATCATTTAGCAATTAACCATTACTTTTTAGATAATAGAATAGCATGTTTCATATTTAAATCACTAAAAGAAACAACTACAAGCAAAATAAACATGGCTTTAATCCAATATTTTGATTTCCTGAATAAAGTGTCTAATGTTTATAACTTTTCAGCTTTTCTGGATTTGCCAATTATTTGAGCCTGCAACAAACTTTGAAACTGTGGAATCTTAGTAATTGTCCAAGGTTGAAGACTCTTGCCAAATGTCCTTATTGAATATAAAATGTTAGAGAAATACAGAAAAAGAATAACGAAGATACTATAATTTTATGGCCCTTGTAACTTTAGTCAAGTGGTCCAAGTTTAATGTTTTTCTTGTTTTTTTCTTCTAAGATAACGCAATGACTTGTTTAGAAAGAACTATCAAACCAATTGTGGTAATAATGTTGCCAGTTTTACATAATACAGTGCAGTTACACATTGTTTGCAGTATTAATTTGTTTTTTTGGACAGCCTGAACCAAAACCCATGATAAACAAGATAAATGTTCCTGTAAAACCTGTGACAGAACACCAATTCAAGACAGTAGTTTCAAATGTGAAGAGCAAGTTTGTTGAAGATGATAATATGGTAAGACATACATATATATTTAGTTGATTTTTTCAAAAAAAGGAAATGTGGTTAAAGGTTTTTTTGAAAAGTAGATACTTTAAACATAATGCATGATAACCATTGAATGTTTCAGAACCTAAATTATTTGGAATTCAATTTATCATAAACAAAAAACCACAACATAACATACTTATACACTATGCCATTATGCAATATACCCATTATCCATCAATCTGAAATACATTTTTTCTGCAAACTGCACAGATCCTGACACTCAAGATTTATTGGTGTTCATCTTTTTAAACTTACATTATTCATTTGACAAATTAAGTAACTGTCCCACAAAGAAACATTTGTATTAAATATTTTTAAATTTTGCAAAACATTGTTATCTGTTTCATTCAAAAACAAATACACATTTTGAAAATAAATAATTACAGTCACAGGCCTAATGATATCATGTGCTAGCCCACTCTTCTTATGGAAATTTTGAAATATAGTATCATATATTAAAAGTTATTCCTCTTTTTCTCCTTTTAGAAATTGTGTAACATCTTCAAAGTGAGCCCTTGCTAATTTTTAAACGTATGCCAGGGCTAAGTCCACTCGCTGTAAAACTTCATTAGTTTCAAACCATATGCCAGGGCTAAGTCCACTCACTGTAAAACTCCATTAGTTTCAAACCATATGCCAGGGCTAAGTCCACTCACTGTAAGACTCCATTAGTTTCAAACCATATGCCAGGGCTAAGTCCACTCGCTTTAAGACTTCATTAGTTTCAAACCATATGCCAGGGCTAAGTCTACTCACTGTAAGACTTCATTAGTTTCAAACCATATGCCAGAGCTAAGTCCACTCGCTGTAAGACTTCATTAGTTTCAAACTACTAGCAGAATATTTTGGAAAATATAATACAATTGCTAAAGTAATTACGTCCATAAAATAAACAAGCTAGGAAAACAATAAAATTGATTTATTATATAAATTGTATATTAAATTAAAAAACCATCATATAGTTGAATTATTTGAAGATGTGTGATCACAGAATGCTTCTGATGAAAGAACCTGAAATTGTGGATTTTTTTCAGTCAGGATTGGAAATAAAGGGAGCTCTACAGTAAATAGGTTGAGAGATAGAATAATTGTAAATATGAACATTTCAGTTGTAGTTTTACTTTATAGGTAATTTAAGGGGGATTCCAGGCAGAATTTTTGAAACTAAATTTTGTCATCTGCTCTCATAACAAAACATGGATAAAAAAGATTAATTTAAAAGCTTGATGTTTACCTAGTGGGAAAACCAATATTGTATAGAGCATAAAAGAGTCCTTACATTATAAGGATTTGTGTAATGTTCAAATATATATTTGCATATAAAGATACCAATAAAACAAAGTCAAATATCTAATCTGCAAAGTACATGTCAGGCAAATATAGAATGAGAATATATATGTTTTAAAGAAGACTAGGCAGCTATCAGGCTTTGGTTTTCCATAACAAAGATGTTTTTCCTTTTTTCTATGTTCCTTTAACAGTTTGTCTTCAAGTCATTTTAGATTAGTTTTATATTCTATGCCTATAAACTGTTTTAGTTATAAGATTTCAGGCCCACACTAATCCTTGTTCTGCAGAAGCTTGCTTGTTTTGTGTTTTATAGTGTATATGGTAGGTGAGAAACCAGGCCTATTTTACAGTTGATGTGGCACCATAGCAAGGTTACAACCAAGGCCTGTACAGAAATGCTTGAAAATCTAGAAATATATTCTCATCCAGTGATAGGTTCTTAGCAGAAATAGTTATTTTTTCTTGGGATGGGCAAAAAATTCTAAAAAAAAATCAACAGTAGGTATTTTACTGACAAAACCTTTTGCACAGGTGCAGAAACGAAAATGAACTTTTTTAAAAATTTTCTTCATGAATTACACTAAATAAGTGTCAGAATATGACCAAATATTTTGGTCTTAAAATTGTTGAAATATAGTTAGAATTAACATAAAACTTTCTTCTGAGACAATAATTCACTTCTGCACACAGAAATGCTATTTTTGTTGCTCATCTACTATGAGATTTGCATGCTACTAGGTTTGAGGTAACTTCCATCTAAATTCACATTTTATGTGAACTGCACTGGTGCATGATAACATCATCATGCAAAAAAAGCCCTCCACCAATAGGAGAGCAACACAACTCCCCATGAGCAGTAACTTACCCTATGCATTTGCACTCATAATAACTTCATTCTTCTCCTTGGCATTGCGTTGAACAGATGAGTTCAAAATTTGTCATCTGAGTTCAGTTTAATGAGATTTGCATTTGTTAATGAAACTTTGATTATTGTTTTTTTTTGGCTTTTGTTTTAAAAGCTGTAATTTTTTTATCACGAATTCTTAAATGATAGTGACTATGTGAGTGATGATATTACACACACACTGACCTTATTTCTACTATGGCTTCTTGAGGCTCATTACATGCTAGAAAAGCCATTGTTCAATGGATTGTGGACTACCACATGCTTACTGGGCCTCCTACTCCTGTCCTGTCAGTCAACATTCTTTTTCTTCAATCAGGAATGATCTACGAGATTAAGAATTTAACCTGAATGTAGTGCCATAACATTCGAGGAATGACCTTAATCTTAACCTTTCAATCTCATTTTGGATTTCATTCTCAAATATGTTTCCTTTCCTGATTTCTTGCCTGTGTTCTGTAATATTTCTCATTTTTCGCTCCATGATCTCCATTTCCTGGCATTTATCTTTTCTAATTGCTCGTTATTAGGGCTTATGTTGTATCATTTCTCTAATAGCTCCTCTCTCACACTCAGATATCTTGTTCCCTCTGCATTCAGCACTCTTTGCCCATTTCTTTCCTTTCTCAGCCTCCAATCTTAGGTATCTATTTGTCCTGCTTTGTGATTGGGCCTCTTGCCTTTCATTTTGTTCTCTGATTTGTCAATTTTGCATCTTTTTTTTCACCACCTTTCCATATTCCCTCTCTTACCTCTGTCTTTTGTCTGAGGCATGTTATCATGCTCCAGAGGGGTTTTCTGTAGAAATGTGTTTCCTTCTCTTTGCCATCTTAGCCTGTTTCAGTTCTTCTGCTCTGTCCCTTCTCACTTAGTCCCCAGGATGATGGAATTTGTTGAGTTATGTTTCTCTTTACTGTACACCTTCCTCCTCCTTGTGTACATGGTCTTTGATGGACTCTTTTTGTTTGCCTGAACATCTTCAATAGTGTTAATTTCTTACTGGAGACCTGTATTGATATTTTATGACTTCAGTTATCATTATCTTCCCATGTTTTTCTTCTTTCTGGAGACCTGGACTGATATTCCATGGCTTCAGTCATTGTTATCTTACCAGGTTTTTCTTCTTTCTTGACTTTACTCTTTACTCCTGTTCATCGCTTGGACCTGTCTACCATAACCCTCATTACAGGTTCCTGACTGTTCTATTTTTTTGTCAGTGACTATTATGTCACATCCAACCCTGTACATGACTCTTCTCTTGCTACTGATAGCATTTTCTGCCAACAGTTGTTTTTCATTTCTCCACCATGGTCTCTCTTCACTCCTCTTCCCATTTCCTTTTCTCCTTCCTCAAACCTCATCTATGGTCCTTTTTACCAAGTCTAGTTGGCCATGGTCAATGTAGTGGATATCTTCCTACACATCCCTCTTGACTCATCCACCATATGTTTTCTTTATGTCTATTGAATTCATGTCTTCCATTTCCTTGCTCTTCCCTTAAGCATAGCATTGGTCCCACTTGAATTCATTTGTATCATGAGGTCTTTTCTTACCATATTCACTACCCAGAGCTGGCATTCCTTTTCTTGGATGATTGACTTCTTTTGGCCCATTCTCAAGTGGTATCCTTTTCTCTCACCTCTTTTCTTTTACCTGAGGCTACTTGCTTGGAGTGGCTTGTCATGTGATCTAAGTCCTTTTTCACAGTCACTCAATATTTGGTACCTTTGGGTGTTTTCATCTCTTGTTTCAGCCTTCTCCTCTTTGCCTACAAGCTATTGCACATCTGGTCACCAGAATTTTCTCTACTCATTCTCCTCATTTGAAAGGAGAGGTTCGCTCAATTTTGAGAACTCTGGCTTCTCTTGTCTCACACCTTTGTAGCACACACACATGCACCTCCTCCAGTGGACTTTGCAGATCTGAATAATTCTTTTTCAGGTTTCATTGTCCTTGTTTTTGAACCTCTGCTCTAGGAATTGTCATGGTGACAGGACTGTTCCTCTGCTAATACCCAAACTGGATTTAAATATTAACCCATACTTCACTCTCTAATTGAGGCATATCTACGTGTGAGGACATGGCTTCTGGCATTTGAATGCATGATGAACATTCAGTCTACATCAACATGTTCAAACTTCTTGTTATTAACTGGGTATGTTCCCATTTCTGCCCCTACTGGTGGATCAATTGTTCATTATCCACTTTAACAATTCCATGGTTGTATCTCACATCAACTGTCCAAGAAACACCCATTCCAGAACCCTTTGCTTTCAGGCATTGGACCTACTCTTCTGGACCCATTCCTATCTTGTTTACTGTCATTTGCTGGGAGCTAAGAACTTGGTGGCAGACTGTTTCTCTCAGTCAGTCTGCCTTCTATCAGTGGAGTGGTCTCTACACTCCAAGGTCTTTCATTGGGTTTGCTCTCAGTTGGCCATTCTTCTAACAGATGTCTCTGCCACCCTTCTAACCTCCAGGTCTCCTCTCTTCCAATGCTCTGTTCCCATTCTTTGGCTCAGGCTGCTGATGATCTCAGCCAGGCCTTGTCTTACCAATTTCTATATGCCCATCCTCTTCTTCATCTCCTCCCTTGGGTCCTTGTCTTGATATGCAACACTCCTTGTCGGGTCTTATTGTTGGTGATTCTTTGGCCAGATCAGCTTTGGTTTCCTCTTACTATACCCAGTATCCATTTCTGTTACTTCAACTACATACATCCCTCTTTTATCCAGGGGTATCATCCCTCCATCTTCACGTTTGGGATTTGTCCAGATCATCACCCATTGAGCCATATTGTCCAATGATGTGGCATTCTTCTTGTCACATTCCTGTTTCCCTTCCATTGTGTCTGTCCGTCAACAATAATGGGGAGATTTTCATTGTTGGTCCATCTGTAACTCCTTCCCTCCTGGCCATCTTACCAAGAACCACCTTTTTGCCTTTTTACCTGGCTGTTAGTCAATGGTTTGTTGGTCTCTACCATTGCTGGTTATTGGATGGCCTTGTCCATTACATTTTGCCTTTCCAAGTACCACATAGTGTTTATTTCTTTCCTCTCCACTCCCTTCCACTCCTTCCTTCTTAACCAACCTCAATGCCTGACTGAGCTGGACCCTTCATTGTTTTGAATACTCTCATGAATACTCTTCAGTCTTTTGCTCTTCTCTACTCAGACTCGTCTTTTCTTCCTCAGATTTTAGCACTCAGGAAGGTGACTGTACTTTCTCTCTTTTCTCCTTTCCTTTCTATCTTTTGCCTATATTTTAATTCAGCCCTAGACCAGCTCCTGTATCCTGTTTGAGCTGTTTGACATTACTTGTCATGAATATCTCCCTTTCTTCTGTGAACCTTTTTTCCTTTCCTCTCATAGTGGATAGGTCCTTCACCTACTATGATTGGTTTATGATTCTATGAATTTGGATCCTTGTTGGCTATTTCATGTTTCATAGCATCTATTTTGTCTCATGTCTTACTCTTGCATTACATTTTGCTGACCCTTGGACAAGATCCTTCAGGCTGGCATCTGGACAAGTCCTAACATGTTTGTCTTTTATTCTCTTTGTTATCTGACTGTTTCATATGCTGACAGAATTTGACTCCCTCTGGTTGCTATTCTTTAATCCATGCACTGTTCTTGAGAAGGAGATATACAATTTCTTTTTATCTCCCTCTGTTTACTTAATTAGTTCATTATTTTCATGACATATGTTGATTTAATTGTAATTTTTATTAATCAGTTAGTTTAATAGCACTAATTGATATAATTGCTCTTCATGTGTAAATGATTAAATTGCTCGTCCCTAATTAATACAGTAATTAATACTTACTCAACTAGTATGGTAAACAAAGTAATATTAGTTTATATAAGCTTATTGTTTACTATGAGTATTGGCAAAAAGTACTCAACAAATATGGCAATTAAAGTAATGTTGTATATGTAACCTTATTAACTTTTCATTGCCAGGTTGAATTTTGGTTACCAAAAATGTAGGCAGGTTCTTTGGTCAGAAGATTTATTGACCTTTTTTTTTAAAGAAGTTTGATAATTGATTAATTACACAAGTTCATTTATAAACCATGTTCATAATTTCTTCAGTCTATACATATAGTGTAGACTAACTGTTGAAAAATTGTAAGTATTTACAAAGTATAGTAGCCTTTAATAAAAACAAGTAATGTATTTACAGTGGGGTTTTGGCGCAATTTATAGCTAACTATTGTAATTGCATCAATATCTACAAAATATAGCCTCATCATATTTACTCTTTTTTCATCTATATTAACTGAAATAAATTTAGTAATTTTTACTTGAGGTTATCATATTTCTATAGCTAAGTTTGTATGACACTCATGCTGGTATTATGGCCACCAAAGTTATAGAGATGGAGCATAATTGTTTCAGGTACACATCAGTCTGTATCTGAAGTTGACTTATTAGTTATGCCAGGTTTTTATAGAAGGTCAGTTAATACCTTGTGTTTTAATATGAGTTATTGTGGCATCTATTTTATTATTACTTTATGTTTCTAAGCACTTGGCTTACTATTTATTTGTCTTTACAATAACATTTATGGATTCTTTTCTTAGCATATTGTCAACAGTGTTGCAGTGAACCCAAGACCACTTGACAGAGGAGCACTTGGAGCTGTAGGTGGACCAAAAGGTAACTAGACAAACAGCAACAAAATTACTTTATTTCGTACCTTGGGAACAAGAAATTGCAAAAACTTTATGTAAATATCTTGGAATAATGTTGTTTTTACATGAAATATTTCTCTTTCACATTTAAATATATATATATATATTTATTTATTAGAAGTATGGTATTGGATGAAGTCTTGATATGGTAAAATTCTCACAGGTAACTACTGCTGTGATAAAAAATAATGTTTTTCACAAGTTATCCCACATATTTGTTTATAATGAATTTAGTAAGTAAGTACAAAAATGCAACAAAAAATTTCGAATATGAAATAGTTTTACTTGTAACAGTGCTTTCTAGGGTTTTTTAAACTGTAAAAATGTTTTTATTGATGAAACACATTTACCATGAGTAGCAAGAGTAGACTGTTGTTTCATATGGTCAGCTATTTCCTTAAGTGAGCTTTCTGTAATCGTTAAGTAAATATTGATAGCAATGACATTGTGATGTTTTACTTCCCATATATGTATATACGGCATTGTGATCAGTTGTAGCTTGGCATATTATTGATAGATCCATCATAAAGTTTGTATTTCATGAAAGCATTCATCTTTATTCACACATGTAGGTCTTTTTTAGATTTTATTTTCAAGTAAACCAAATATATTCAAGGCAAAGTTTTCATTATCAAGATACAAGATTTACAGTAATCATGAATTTACTATTAGGCCACCATTCTTTTGATTGTTTTCAAAACAAATTATTTGTATATCAGTTTAATATTATCCATATTTTCTGTGTTATATTGTTAGAACTTTGGTAATCCTTAGGTGAACACTTTCTGTTATGCTAATTTGAAGCGTAATTTATTCTTTTCATTCTCTAAGATATTGCAATTCTTCAAAACTGGTGTTCTTAAGTATGTTGTTCAATATGAATTACTACATGAGTGTGTATAATCTATGTTGGAGAAGAAAAGAAATATGTTTTCTGTTGGTTTTGAAGTCTTTGAATTACATCTGAGTGTGCACATTGGAAACAATTTGTTTTGTGTTCAAGTGTTAAGCTATTTGTTTAGTTTATGTGGTTTTTAAATGTTAAATGACTGATAAATGCAAATTAAGGAATCATTGTTACTTCACCATAATGTTTCACATGCTAAGTTTTAATTTATGGAAATACACTTAGCATGATACATGTAATGAAACTGGAAGGAAAGCTTTATACATTTTAAATATGCCTGTCAGTACCACTGGCATCATTTGTAGAGTAACTTTATGATACCTTTGTTTTGTGAAATATTTTGATAATTAATGGTTGTTTAAGATATTTTTAATGTGAAATTTTTGTACAAGTCTTACATTGCCAAACATTCAAGGTATGCATTTACAAATCAGGTTTAGAGGGTTAATTTGATAGCTGATTTGTCACAGAACATTGTGTATTTTCACTATGTTTCATGGTTAAAAAGTCGTAGTTACAATATTTCTCTAGGTCCTTAAATGTAGTCTCTTTCTATGCTTTTGTTTATAGCAATTACTTATATAAGCTCCAGCTTTTAGTGTCTTTTTGATATTTTGCTAATTCATTAATGGTTAATATATATTCCAGTTAAAATAAATCAAGCTGATGTTTAGCTACAATACCACTGAAAGGGAACAATGTAAAAGCTAAGAAAGTGACTGCTTTTTTAGTGATTCATCAAACTAAGCTTCATATACAATTAAATATATATAAGTTCTAGGAACCATATTGGATATGTACACAATGTTTGTACATCCTGTTGGGTAGGTAGTAAAGTATTTTTACAGTTGTGTTGGATATGTTTTTGACTTTATCCACATATTGATTGACAATAAATTGAAAATTTAATCTGTCCATGTTAGTCACCTTCAAATGAACTTACACAACTGAAAAGTGATTTCTGTGATTGAATGGCAGCAGTCAGACTACATAACTGAGAAAGGACTAATATATTTGTGATTTCTGTTCTGCGCTTCAATCAAGAAATAGTTTAAGTCTCCCTGCTGCTATTTTTGACATTGTCTGAAGAAACAAGGATTTCCTTCTGTCAGGAGAAAATTTTGTTTCCTTCTCTTCACAAGGAAATTTTAGATGAAATGGAAGAAACTTTTGGTCCTTCAGACCAAACATTTCCTTTTGGCTATCCAAATAAACATTCAAAAAACAAACACCCAACAGGGATCGAAGTATATAAGTTTACAAGTTTCAGGTCTGGCTGAGGATTACCTAAACTCAAAAACAATTATCAATGAAAACTTGACAGTAATGAGCTCTCACCCAGAACCATGCTCCCAAGTCTGTTTATTACCTCAACCCCTATCATACCTTCTAGATCTGACTAACAACTTCCATTGGAACCTGAAACATTGTTCAAGACTCTGTTACTAATTTGTTCTAGTCAAAGAGAATCTTTTGAAGTATATCCATTGCTTTAAACGTTATAAAATAAATTGAAAGAATGTTTGTTTTGTTGACCATAAAAATCCTCTAGAAATATGTCCACTGCTTTAAACTATTATCAAAGAAACTGAAAGAATGTTTGTTTTGTTGACCATAAAAATCCTCTAGAAATATGTCCACTGCTTTAAACTTTATCAAAGAAACTGAAAGAATGTTTGTTTTGTTGACCATAAAAATCCTCTAGAAATATGTCCACTGCTTTAAACTTTATAAAAGAAACTGAAAGAATGTTTGTTTTGTTGACCATAAGAATCCTCAAGAAATATGTCCACTGCTTTAAACTTTGTGTGCCACTAGCCTTGAAGCAATTCCCACCTATCTCTCATGAATTGTGCTCCTACATGAAGATGTAATCATGCAGCGAAACCCTCCACCAATAAAAGAGTGACACACCTCCATGCACACTAACCCCCCACCCATGCAGCGAAACCCTCCACCAATAAAAGAGTGACACACCTCCATGCACACTAACCCCCCACCATGCATTAGAACTAAAGAAACATCATTCTTTTCCTTGACACTGTTTGGGCTAAACGTGTTTAAAATTTAGTCTGTGTTAAATTTAATAAGATTTGCATCATTCACAAAACTTCAGCTTTTGTTTCAAAAGATTTCATTTATATTATAAATTCTCAATGGATTGTGAATTATATTTAGTCCTGAGAGTATAACATTCTTCATACTTGGGCTTTATTTCATCAGTGGCTTTTGGATGCTCATTGGTTCTCAAGATCAATGTAGCCATTATTCAATGTTTTTTGAATCACCACATGCCTAATGGGCCTCCTACTACCATCTGGTTTTTTCTCACTAGTTGGAAATGATTAATTGGACTATCCACTTCACCTGATTTGCTTTGGGTAATACTTTGCCATTCCTTAGACAACCTTAACCTTACAATCTTTTTGGAGACTTCCTTCTCAAGTCTGTGGGCTCACCTTATCTCTCATTATTCTTGGGGTTTATCTTTTAATTTCTCTGTGCCTGTTATTAGGCTTATATTGTTTTCCTTTCTCAAATAACTTTTCTCATGCTGAAATGCCTCACCCTCTCTCATGTTCATGCCCCATTTTGTCTTGATTTCTACATTTCATTTCTTTACTTTTCTCGATTCTCTGTCTTTGGTATCTATTTGGCTAGCTTAAGGTTTGTGCCCTTTTACCTAGTCTTTCACATCTAGTTCCCCATTTTCATCTTTTTCTCTCTACTTTTCTGTATTCCCTTTCCTAACTCTGCATTTTATCTGAGGCATTTCTTCATGCTTCTGTTGGATTCTTTAGGTGTTTTTCCCTTCCCTGTTTAGCCTGTTCCACGTCTGCTTTATCCTTTCATAGTTTCTTCTCTTACTGTTCAGACTCATTGGGTCAGGTTATTTTTTTTTCTCCTTGCATACCTCTTTTTGGCTCCCTTTTTTGCCCAGATGTCTTCCTTTCACCCTGGTGTCTGGGACTGCTGTCATAAGACTTCTATCTTCATTATCTTCCCAGGTTTTGTTGTCCTCTTTCTTAACCTTGCCTTTGCTCCTATACTTCAAGAACATTCTCCTTTTCACATTCCCATCCTAAATTCCTGACCTTCCTCTTTTTCTCATCTTCCCCCAACCAGTAGTCTTTTCTCCACTTTGATCTCTTTCCTCACTCCTTTTCACTTCTCCTTTCCTTTTCATTTCCCTCTGACCACATGTGTGGTCTCTTTCACCCAGTCTGTGGTCGGTCATGGTTGATGTTTCAGCCACCTTCCTACACATCTTTCTCAATCTGTACTTTGTTTTTTGTACTTTTTCATGTTTTCCCATTCTTTCCTCTTCCCTTCAATTCCATGTTAGCCCCTCTTATATTACTTGGAATTATTTGAGCTTTCACTTGCCATATTCACTGCTCCCTTATGGTCCACTATTCTTCAACCTTTGGCTGTGTCTACTTTTTCAGCCTGGCCTAGTTTCCCTTATTTCAATATGTCCATTCCCCTATTCATCTACTCCTTCTGGCCCTCATCTTTATACACTACTTTCCCTCACGAGTTTTATTGTTTGTGCCTATTTGCCCAGTTCAGCCTTTATCCATTGACATTTGGACCCCCTTTCCTTTCTTCACTTCCCCCCCTCTCTCCCCTCGAGGTAAATTCCTGTACATGGTGAGGGGGCCTCCCAGGGAAGGTTCTGTATTTTCAGTACCTCCTCTGGGATTTAAACAACCACCCATGTGTTTGCAGTGTGTGGCAATCTGTGAAGGGGAGGAGAGGATACTGGTGGTTGGGTGGTGTCTGAAGCACTACAACACACGACTTAGACGGGTGTCTTTGGGGTAGTCCCTCAGGATCAGTCAGCTGGTCCTCTGTAAGGTCTTAGAGAGGATGATTAATTCTTGTCTTGGTTGGTTCCTTGAATCAAACAACCTCCTCTCGCCCACCCAGTGTGGGTTCAGTTGACAGCGATCCACCATGGACCATCTGATTCGACTTGAAACCTCAATCAGGGAATCCTTCCATCTTGTTTCTGTCTTATTGAGAAGGCTTATGACACTACCTGGAAGTACGGCATTTTGCAGGACGTCCATTCATATGGGTTGCATGGCCAGTTGCCCATTTTTATTTTTAATTATTCATTAGACAGGCATACCAAGTTCATGCGGGTATGACCCTTTTCTGTTCTTTCACACAGGAACTTAGAGCCCCTCAGGTGCTGTGTCTTGAATAACACACTTTTCACTATCAAGATCAGTGCTATTACTTGACAGCTTCCTCTTACTGTTGCAAACAGCCTCTATGTCTACAACCTCTACATTTCTTGTTGGCCATCTAGTATGTTGAAGTGGGCCGCAGCAAACAGTTTTACCTTTTCTTTCTCCAAAACCATTTCCATGCACTTTTGCCACCAACAGGGTTTACACCCCAATCCTGAGCTCCAACTTGGTGATATTGTTCTTCCTGTAGTTCCTGAAGCAAAGTTCTTGAGGCTTATCTTTGACTGTAAGCTTACTTTTATTTCTTACATCAAGCTGCTATGTGTCAAGTGTACAAGGGCACTGAACATCTTCCATGTCCTCTGTTCCACCTCTTGGAGAGCGGATGAATGTTCTATGCTCAAGATCCATCATGCCCTCATTCGATCCAAACTGGACCATGGGGCTCTGGTCTATGGTTCTGCCAGGGCCTCTGCCTTGAAGATGTTGGACCCCATTCACCATCTGGGGCTTTGGCTCTATATGGGGGCTTTCCACACTTCTCCTGTCCAGAGTTTGTACACAAAGTCCTACGAACCCTTTCAACTCTGCCATTTGCACCTTTCTCTGCAGTATGCTACCAAGATTCAATTCTTTCCACAGCATCCCTCCTAGGGTTGTGTCTTTCTTCATTTCACATCCAGGTGCAGCTGACTAAATTGGGTCTGTCATTGGATAATGTTGCTGTCTCCAATGATCAGCCCATCTCGCCATGGCTTATTACCATTCCCACCTGTGACCTTTCTTTGAGTCATCTGAGGAAGACAGATACTCCCAACTAGAAGTACTGTCTTCTTTTTGTACCATTCTTCAGTTTCCATTTTTACAGATGGTTTGAAATCAGATGACTCTGTGGGCTCTAGCATGGTTTGTTGTGACTCAGTGGTTGCTCACAGAATCCCCTCTACAATTTTTGTCTTCACTGTAAAGTTGTATGCCATTTTTCATGCCCTGGATCACGTAGGAACTATGCAGTACACTGATTGTATCATTTACACAGACTCTCTTAGCTCTCTACTGGTCCTGGAACCATTTACCGTTAGTTCTTGTGCTGTTTCCATCGATATTCAATAATGACTGGCCCATTTTTCTCTATCTTCCATTACTATCCAGTTTTTCTGAATATCTGGCCATGTCAGTATTTGCGGGATCAAGCTCGCTGACATCACAGCTAAGTCCGTCTGCTCTAGTACTGTCACAGCCGTTCCTGTCCTGTATACAAGGCACAGCTTCATGCCACTTGGCAGTTGACTTGGAGTGAGCAACGTCATAACAAGCTTTTTCAGATTAAACCATCTGTTGCTCTTTGGCCATCTTGTTTCCATAAGGATCGGAAGGCTAGGCTATGCATTGGTTACAGTTTTTTAACTCATTGTTTTATTTTATCTGGAACTGATCCAACAATGTGTGGCCTTTGTGACACTCAAGTCACAATAGTCCACGTTTTACTATCGTGCTGTCATTACGACCATGAGCAGCGACACCATTTTAGACATGTATTTTCTATGGGTTTACCAATGATGCGGGACAGTGTCATTGGCAATAATGACACTGTCCAGTTTGATTGTTTGTTTTTTTAATTTTTACAAGCCATTGGCCTTTTTAATTCTGTTTGAGTCTTTTATATGAATTTTGGACATTGTTTAGTTTTAACTTGATTTATTTTTGCATTTTATAGATTTTTACCGATTATTTGGTGCAGATAGGCTAGTTGCTTACCACCAAAAAATGCCAAACAATCAACCAATCCCCCCCTCCTCTCTCTCTCGCTTTACCCTCATATGTCCCTTCATCAAGAGTTATATTCCTACCTTCTGGCACATAGAATTTGCCCAATCTGTCACCTGTCAGGTTATACGGACTTTTTTCCTTTGTGTCACTCTTGTCGTCTTTCCACTGCCTTTTTCTATCAACTTCTGTCATGGGTCTTTATCATCACTCGTTCTACCACACCTTTCTGCTTTTTTTCTTGATTGTTTAGCATTAACTTGTTGATCTACACCTCTACTGATTGTCAGGAGACCTTTCCTGATACCACCACAAGGTATTTATTCCCCTATTCTCTCCACTCTGTTCTGCTCCTATTTTTTCTCTGACCTTTTCACCATGCCCCATGACTGACTGAGACCTTAATGGGGTTTACATGTTCTGGTGCATGCCTCCTTCAAGCCCTTGGCTTCCTGCCTTTTGGACTGTCTCTTTTCTCCCGAGATGTTTCCTCCTCTTTCTTATCTACTATCTGCTGTTTGGATGTCCATCTCGTGGTTGCTTCACGCCCTCTTCTACTGCACTTCTGTATCCCTCTTCTTGGTCTTATTTTTCTTTTCTCAGTCTTTAACTGCTCACTGCTCTGTAGATTACCTGTACTTCTCTCTCTTGCCTATTGGACCATTTAGACCTGGATCAGCTCCCATGACCTTTTGGGCTGTTCAGTGTGCCTATTCATAGACCTCCTTTTTTTTTTCCCACAGACCCCTTTTCTTCTCCCCTTATTGGTGAGCCTGTTACTTCCTCCAGTTGACAAGTTTGTCTCGGGTTGGGGATGCCCGCAGACTCACATTTCTTCCCATTAGATTTGTTGCCTTTCTCCTTCTTTTACATTTCTTTTTTTCACTGGCCCTACAATGAGCTCCTCCAAGTAGACAGACATGTGGACATTCTCCACACATTTGTCTCCTTAACACCTTCTGGCTGTTTAATCTCTCCTGATGAGTTTTGGCTTCCACAGGTTGATTTTCTTCTGTCATCCCACTGTCTTTGATAATAATATTTACTATTTCTCTTTCAGGGCCCATTTTTTGTTCTTAGGATCCCACCTGGTGACTGGTGGTGTTTCCCATGGTATACTACTACAACTATGAATGTATTTAATTAGATATTTGGTAAATTTCTTTTTTGTTAATCATTTGTAGAAGTAGTTTGGGAAAAACTTAAGTTTAGTAAAATGACTTATTATTTATTAATTGTGAAACTATAAATTGGAAGATCATATAACTTGCATGTATTGCATGTACTTTAGTTGAAAGTGTTTTAATGGTTCATGACCCTCTAGTCTTTGGTATCAGTAGGTATTGTAATAAAAAAGATCATGGCATTTAAGTTTGTTTCTCTCTCTATTCTGAACCTATAGAAGGAATAATACAGAAGCTCGGAGTGTCTCTTTCATACACTTTTTGAAATATAGAACCCATTCCAGATACCAAGGTTTTGCTCTGGAAAAAAAAGTGTTATGTGAAACATTAATCTAATTTCATACATTCATAAATTGTTAGATTATTTTGTTCATTATTCAGTTTCCATTGTATTATTAACCTATTTTAAAAGTAAAATTAAACATCAAGTTACCTTTACAGCTATACTCATTGTTTGTATTCTCTTGAAGAGTTTGTGACTGTGGCTACTCCTCAATATGTAACTCCTCCAGCTGTTGATAATCCAAATGAGTTCCCAGCACTAGGCATGTCCAGTAAGTTTTTTATAAAATAGTTTAAATGATTTAGTACATATAAGCATTCTGAAATGACTTGTGTTCATTTGTCTTATTTATACTGTGGCCAATAACCATAGAAAATTAGTCAAAAATAAAAAAGTTTGTTAGAAAGTGTTAAATACATGCTTCAAATGCTATGTATAGAAAAAACTGATTAATAGATAAGAAAGAAACTAATATCATGTATGTTTTAAGTTGCTATAATCATGTCACTATTTTTAGCAAATCTGACCTTACTTGTATTTGTGAACTAACTCATTTTGTGTATAGTTTAAAGTTTCTTTTTCTTTTTTTTTGATAGAGTTGGAAAACTTGTTAATGCAAAACTTATTATTACTATATTGTATTTTGTAATCTAAATTTTTGAAGTTTAATCACAAAAGCTGAGTATGTTTTTCAAGAGTATACAGATGCTGCATTGCAATGCAGTGTTTTATTTCATGTGTTGCAACTAAGTATCAAATAAATCTTTTGATCTGTATACTTGTGTCATTTACAGTGAGCAAGATCACACAATGCAGAAACATGTAGCATATGTAAATAGTGCACATAATACTGTACAGTAGACATAGATTTTGTCTAAGTGTATATTCCGGATCAGTTTTATTATTGAACAAGATGTTTGTGAATAGGTTCTGACATTGTAACCTTTTGTAATACATAAGAAAACAATTACACTACCCCCCAATAAAATATGACCACTTCCAGTAATAGTATTTTATAATGTCCATGAAATTGTTTGAATATCGTACTTATTTACCAGCTGATATTTGTATTGAAATTACTCTTGGCCTGAGTTTTCACTCTTTCAGAAAAATAACAATATGTTATACACAGAGGTGTAGTGCTAAATAAAGTGGTGGAATGGATTTAACCACATAAGATGAAATTCACTTGATATAGTGGCAGTATGTCATTCCAGCTATAAAAAAAGTACAGGTACACTGTGCCCACTTGTTCCCACCCCACTACATCCCTGATTATACATTTACTTATACATGTATAATATTAGTATTCCAACTACTGAATGTGTGCCATATTCAACTGTGTTTGTTTTGACCCAGCTAGCCTGATGAGCTCTGTATTTAACAAAAACCATCATTGGCAATGAATATGGCAAACAGGAGGGACTAGATAAAGAACAAAGTGTCAAAAAATATAAGAGGCCCAATACTAATGTCTTATGATTAGTATAATTACTTACTATCATGCTTTGCCAGCTTAGAAGAGGAATTCACACCATAAAAATTGTTGTTGTAATAATTGACTTATAGAAATAGTGTTTGTTGTGTCAAAAAACCAACCTGATGAACTCTGCATAAAGATAAACATGTCATTGGCAATGGCTAAGGCAAATAATATTATTATACACTCTTCTAATTCTTGAAAATTCCTAAGAGACTAGATAAAGAATGCAGTGTCAAAAAATATAATATGCCCAATACTAATGTCTCATGACAAGTATAATTATTTTCATGCTCAAAAAAGGTGCACGCATCATAACAATTATTATACATTTAGTTTGACATCAATTTGTTTCTTTTTTTTTTAAGTTCATTGAGTAATGTATCAAGTGCTTTAATAATTCAATTCAGTGCATGCATTTTTGAAAAATTTTTGTATTATGGTACATGTGTTTGATATATTAAACTTTTCATATTTTAGGTTTCATAGTATTGGGTTTTAGTTTATGTTTAGCATAGATAAACTTTTGGATTCTGAGTAAAGAAACCACATCTATAATAATTTTAGTGATTTAAATATTATACAATGTATTTTTCAATATAAGTAACAGTGTAGCTGTTTTTTCTTTGTTACAAGTTTGAGTAGAATTGATTAAATTATTTAAATCAGAATATGATAAAAATAAATAATTGATTCAGCTTAGTAAAGTTCTCATTTTTTCTCTATAACAGAATTGAATCTCGACAAATCGAGCTCTGCAACTGGCAAACAATATGCAAGCGTAGCTGGAAGAGGACGCTTATTAGCAGCTAACTTCATGCAACCACAGACATCCACTAAGCCACCAGATTCATTAAGACAACCTAAAACTATCCCACAGGCACTCAGTGCTGGTATGGTATTAAATATGTTTTATCCACTACACACAAGCATAGCAAATAAATCTTAAAATACTCCAGGTTTTTGTGTTTCACTATCTTTAGTAGGTTAATAATAAATCTAAAACAAAGATCTTATTGTAGATGATTTAAAACTATTAATAATTTATAACTTTATTTGAGTATGCCATGGATAAATCTTATTATAGCTCAAAACTTGTGGAAAACTTCTTGCAAGGAAAATTAGTAGTATTTTGAGATATGGATTTCAACGTGAACATTTTGTTTTACAAGCAAGCAGGTAACACATGCTTGAATATTTCAATAAGGAAATGTGGTTATTTCAGAGAATTGATTGGCTAATAAAATGGCTCTTTTAACTAATCTGTTTTGGGTTAGTTTTATTACTGAGCAATTTGCTTGTGAATAGGTCCTAACTTGTATAATGGATATTGTATCCTTTTTGAAATGTATAAAAACCAGCTACACTGCTGTTTAATAAATCAAAAACACCTTCAGTAATAGTATTTCATTAGATACTTAGAGAAAGTTCATACTTTTGTTGAGGATGGAAGCATTACCGGACCTTTCAATATACAAAACAGTTTTTGTGTAATCTTTGTTGCATGTGAAGATTCACATAAAATATTTTACTGTTGAACAATGCTGTGGGCTTTTCAGTCAGCATCATTACAGTTGTTAGCAGTATAAGTTGTGTTATTTTATTGAAAAACAGCATATTTACTGGTAGATGGAAATATTTCTTTGGAAGTTTTAAAGCTTCCCTCATATTGATTAATATGTTGGTATTGTTACCTTTTTCATGAGTTGAAACTGTTTAAGAACAAAATAGGTTATGACATTTATATATATTGATTTAAATATTCTTTTTTTTTGCATTGGATATTTCCATTTAAGCCAAGAAAGCACTTTTTTAACAAAACTTAGTCTGAAATTAATTAGAATTCAGGTGATAAAATTGAAATAGCTACTGCTGTATTTCTGTCAGACATTCACCTGTAAAGTTCTCTTTACAGAAGTTGTTTTTATAATTTCAAATAACTAATTTTTATTGAGCAAACTGTTTCATTTTAGGTTTCAATAACTTGTATAGAACACTCCATGTTGTCATAGCTAGTAGCCTTTTGAATATTTTAATAAAGATTAAATAGTTAATTACTAATTAAAAACATTATACTTTTTTGGATGCTAATCTGTTGTCATTTTCAAGGATGTCCTAAGAAAAATCTGTTTTTATGTGGCTGAGCTGAGATTCAAACTTCAGTTTTTTGATTGAAAGACAGACGTGTTATACATTCATCAGTATTAATGTCTTCTGTGTTTGGTATTGAATTAAACATCTCAAGTGTGATCAGGTTTAGAAAGTCTTTACATGCTAGTCAAGCTCAAACAGTAATTTTTATCAAGATCTGCCCATAACTCTCTTTTAGTCTGCTACTTCTTTATGTTTTAGTTGATACATTTGGAAACAATTTAAAAACTGTTACATGTGCCATGGTAATATGAAAGCTATAAAAACTGTTATATGTGCCATGGTAATATGAAAGCTAAAAGACTGTTGCATTTGCCATGGTAATATGAAAGCTATAAAAACTGTTACATGTGCCATGGTAATATGAAAGCTATAAAAACTGTTACATGTGCCATGGTAATATGAAATCTAAAAGACTGTTGCTTTTGCCATGGTAATATGAAATCTAAAAGACTGTTGCTTTTGCCATGGTTATATGAAAGCTATAAAAACTGTTACATGTGCCATGGTAATATGAAAGCTATAAAAACTGTTACATGTGCCAT